TCGGGAAAGATTCACTTTGTCGGTTTAGTTTCATCTCGTCGTCGTAGACTGTACCTGGTGACACAAGCGATGTCTTACGCAAGGCGATAACTCATTCATGAATAATTACGAAACCGGTACAGCTTCTTCTCGTCGTAGGTTTCTTCTGGGAGCTACCTTTTCAACTCGGCAGGAGATTTAAATGCGTGGTCCCTCGCGATCGCATTCGTTATGGAATGTCAAACGAGCATGAAGAATGGGATCCCCTGTCTGCACGTACTTCATTTTTCTTTCACAATCATGGTTTTCACGTAAATGTGTTTTGTTTGTGTATCTTTGCAGATTTTTCATTTCAACCTCGAGAATATCACCACATTATAATCCAAAAAATATTATAATAATTCATAAAGTGACGCGGCAAACGAGAGCGAGGGAGCATCATCAGTAATCCATATTCGTTTCTGAACGACGGATCATTAAGCTTGGAGCGGTTCTAAGGACTAGTTCTAATTTGTGCAGACTAATTTGTGGTATAATGAGATATTCGGACAATCATGTAAATCACCTCGTAAAAGTTAATGGGCATTATTCTCCTAGGGCCGTATCGTATACAAATGCGTTTTTGTGGTAATGGCAACGGACGCGGCGCGTATATTAAATACGTTTTACCGATGCTCGTGCATCGAACAGACGGACGCATTTCTCCCTGATGGATGGTGCTTTCACGCGTTAAGACAAACGCCCAGCTGACTACAAAACGACTTCTCGATATATTACGTCGCGCCCTCGTGCTTCCGATCTGTTACTTGTGCGCCACTTAATTATCATACTTCATTAGGCGTGACTTCCGCGTGAAATATTGAGCCGTGGAATTTTTTCCGTGCGCAGTTAATAATTGTTTTCCAATATCTCTTGAAATATTCGTACGAATTCGTAACAACACGTGACGCAAAAATAATTTTACTACTGTTATCTCTCTTGACTAAATCACTTGATCACGAACACAGCGATCTCTCGTGTAAGAGACGAACATAATTGGCCTGCGTATTTAATGTTGACGTAGATTTTGGCCCGGATACACGGACGACGTATCTTTTGTCGACGGTTTTATCTGGTATAATTCGCACAGCTTGATACGGGCCGTCCAACATGACGTGTCACAGCGGGGACGAAGCGAGGAGAATCGGAGAAAGAAGCGTACCTCGCGTGAGTAGTTGCAAGGAACCACTTACGGTAGATAGATCCGCAAGGTGGATGGTAAGTCGTGGTAGTCGTAAGTTCGTACTTCGCGATGATCTCGTTGATGCGATCTGCCAAGCTACGCGAGGTGCAACGGCACAGCTCGACCGTATCTCTTTCGCTTCTTGCTCCTCTTCATGTCCCTCTTCCCCTCGTTTCACCGGAATATCCTTGGTCGCCGGACGTTCTGGCAGATCAGAACATCTTCGTGATCATGTCGGACAAGCGCCACCGAAATTTCGACTCTCACGGTTAATCCGAATGACATTAAGTAGAAATGCGTACTTTTAGCTCTGATCTAAGGCTGACTGTCGCACGAGAGGAAGTCATTCGTCATCGTCAAAAACGCCGACGATATGCGATTTTCAGGAGATCCACGACATTAATTTGATGCGAGATGCGAGCAATTTTCCTCAAAAACGCTAACTCGTGGTCGGCGATGTAACAAGGTCTTCTGATATTTCAGTTATTTTCGGCATCATCGTGACCGCCTTGTACATGACGTACTCCGTTATACGTGTTATTTAGCCTCTCGATGTACACTGTAACATCGTCTAACGAGAAGTCTATCGTCTGTTAGTTACGCCCTCCGTATTTCATCGCATGCGAGCGCTATTGTTTGCCCTCGTAAATTTGCGGAAACCGAAACCTGAAATTATAGTCACCCACGCTTATTACTGTCTACCGGAATGTATATTGAGCATATGGATAGTACATTGTTGCACCTTTATGACAAGGCATGTCCAATTCACATGTCCCATTTAACTTTTACCTTTGATACGAAACAAACGCAAAATTATCTAAACAATACAATAGTAATATACGATTTCGTTTAGATTATTATAGTCAATTTCATACTCTTTCCATTATTATATTTAATTTATTAAAATCAGATGAAAAATATTGTACTCCATAAAAAAATTAAAAAAAACTTCCAAGTAAATTTTTCATAAAATCTTGAGTTGACTATTATAAAATTTTATAATATATATTATTTGTATGCAGATTTTGATGGGATTTCAGGCAAACCGCGTTATAAAAAGACTACAGTCTTTCTCTATAGTTACTAAAGAATAAATCATCGATTATCCTGCACATGAGGTGCATAGTCGACGTGTAAATATTTGCGTTACGACGCGATAACGAGCAAAAGAATGCACGCTTCTTTACAACTTTCATCTCCTTCCTGCTCTCCTCTCTTGCATGTTTTGCTCCGCTCCTTCCTATAGCCAAATTCCTTCTTCTGGTCTTCCATGGATCATTTGCATAATAGCCTTTTTGAAACGGCACACTAACGAGCTCACATTCAGGAGTCGTCCAACCCGTAAGACCCGCATGAACATATATATGAACACATATGAACCTACACACTAGGCTCTATTCCTTCGTTCCATCATCCTTTCTTACATTAGATGCACTACACAAAGATGTTGCTGAGGTCCGCCAACAGAAAGCATCATATCTTTGATTCTCCGAAACACAAATACGAATTATGTGCTTGAGCCACATAGATATGGCGCTATGTCTTATTCACGCGAAATTAGTATGACGTGTTCATACAGATAGATGTATCAAGTATATTATCCGTATCATCTGATAAAATCAATTACAATGCGCAGATCGATTATACATTCATATACATTAATAAATTTTATATAAAATGTATCTACATAAATATACATCTATAAAGAATATTAATATTATATAAAGTGTATTAATATTATTTTCACTTTTATGTAAATGAACTTTTGTTATGAAATTAATATTAATTTATGAAACATATCATATATTACATACCACCGTATATTATATATTTAAAAATAAATATGAAAGTATAAGATGTAATGTGAAAATTTACAAAATTACATTTATATGATAGCTTGCACTAATAATATAAACAGAATATTGTGTAATTTATAAATAATAAACATATATTTTATAAATTCATATTTCATTTTGAATACATGTAAGTTAATATATTTGTAAATAAATATATACTAAGATAACTTTTTTCTCTCTCACATTAATTTATAACAATTTGATAATTTATATATAATTTATATATAATAATATTTCTTTTCAATTAATAATATAAAATATATGTTAATAATATTAATTAAAAATAATATGATTGTTATATAAGAAAAATAAGTTTAAAATCAAAATTGTACGAACAAATAAAAATGCAGAAGAAATTGAGAATGCATTACACTAACCTTGAATAAAATCGCTATAGCGACGGCAACACCTTTAGGTGCGCTGCCTACAACAACGACCTTGACATGATGGCCATCCACAAGATGTTCTGCCTGTTTCGTCAGTAAAAAGGTTACCGTGTTGCCGACGACATCAGGTGATTTCCTTCTAGATTCTGTCATGTTTAAAGAACACTGAGCTCTTTAATTTTTTGATAAATAACATTAGATAATTTAGATAAATCGAAAACTGTTTGACATCGTGGATGTGTCTTTAATTGACGCTTTTCAAAAAAATTTTACGTAAAAATTTACAAGTTAGGAAGACACATTTGGAAAATTAGACAATCGAGAAGATACTTTTGACAGGAAGCCAATGAAGTCGGCGGATATGTAACAAGTAGCTTTATCGATTTAAAATAAGATGATGAAAAATGAAATAATGCAATAAGATAATCAAATTGATGTTATAAAATAAAGCGGGAAAATTTTCTCTGCCATTTGTATCTCGTAGGAAATATAAATCTCGAGTTACCTTGTAGCGGAAGATATACGATCCGATTAACACGTTTAATCATAGACGAAAGATGCAATCGATAAATTCAATCGCACCGTACAAAATCAATTATAATCGGGAAAAAATATTCGTACAAAAAGATAAAAGTTTGGAGCAGATGTAGAGACAAATCGCCAATTGTGATGATCGAGCTACAGCTTCGCTATAGTTTTCGTTTTTCGAGGGATAGGAGATTGTGAAATTGATCGACAGCTGTTCGATTCGCACAGGTGGGATGCGCCATGTTAAGAGATACATTCAATTTCCGCTTTATATTCAAGAAGGGTTTTAGGAATATTATTCTCCATTATTGTATAATTTACTAATTCATTTCATCGTTATTATAGAAATATTATTTCAATAATTTGAATCAATTTTTACAATTATTATTTTTCCTAATTAAAATGTTTAAATAAATCTCATGCAAATTTAATATCAGAGACATCCATAAAATATATAAATACAATCACATTTTCAATTATAGAACTATAATATATTCAATTTCCATTTTACAGGATATGCAAGAAGGATCTCAGAAATAATATTCTCTATCTTTTATCGATTCATTTCGCTATTATAGAAATTTTATTTCTTGTTTCAATAACATGATTCAATTTTCACAATTATCATTTTTCCAAGAAACTAAAATGTTTAAATAAATCTCATGCAAATTTAATGTCAAAGACGTCTATAAAACGTATAAATACATTCAAAACTTCAATATGTACATATATAATTCAAAATTTCAATTATAGATCTATAATATATCCAATTTTCATTTTACAAGATATACAAGAAGGATCTCAGAAATAATATTCTCTATCTTTTATATCGCATCGATTTATTTCGCTATTACAGAAATTTCATTTCTTGTTTCAATAACGTGATTCAATTTTCACAATTATTATTTTTCCAAGAAACTAAAATGTTTAAAATAAATCTCATGCAAATTTAATGTCAGAGACGTCTGTAAAACGAATATATATATATATATATATATATATATATATATATATATATGAAACGCAACGATCTTACCCCTTTCCTTCCCTGCAACGAAGAAACATATAAAGCTAATGCAGAAAAAGATTGTAGTTTAAATTATCCAATCTTCTTTAGAGCCGCAGCTCAGCTATACACTCGCTTCGCGTGCAACGGGGAATGCATTTTCATCCGCCCTTTCACCTTCCCGCCGTACATCGTTCGGCTTCGTAAATCAAAATTCGATCGAGCAAAAAGGAAACGATAATAAGCTTCGCACGAAACATTGTACCGGCTCGCGAGTAATCTTAGAAGAACGCGACTGGTTTAATTTTCCAGGAAGTCGAATTTATATATCGTTTATTACTGCGATCGGATGTACGTACGGAGTACATCGCGGAAACCGGTCGCCAGGTGCGCGGCCCTCGTCCTTATTGATGAAGATGCATTCTAAAAGGCACGTTCTTTCTCGTCCTTCCTCCCCCGTCGCAGTTTCCGTCGCGCGCTCCTTCTCTTCTCCGATCTCTTCTCTCGTCTCCGGTCGTCACTCTTCAACGTCGTTCGTCGATTCGCGAAGGATGCCGCATTCGCGCAGCACATTGCGAATGCCATCGGCGCACCGTTGCACCGCTGCCTTTTCTTGATCGTTTAGCTTCTGTCGTACCGTGGCGCACACACCCTCTCGACCGAGAACACAGGGGACCGACATGTATACATCTTTGTCGGTCCCGTGGGAGCAACTCTGCGAACAGACATTCCTTCAGCTTGTTTCCCCTCGCGCGTTGGCGAATTGACATACGAATAAGTGCCGTTAAAGATTCGATTTGCTCGTGTTGGAAAAAATCGATACAATTCAAAATGAATTAAAGATTTAATAATTTTAATCGTTGTATATAAAAATAATTCATACTTCACAATTATTATCAGAGTACAAAAATTTAATATCTGATTTCTATGCATTATTATTCAATTTACTTTCCTTTATATTTCTCATTATTTTGCTATAAATTAATAGCAAATCAATTACATTGTATTTGTATGCAATCTTACAACTCTGATTTTTTTTAAATTTAATCGTTAATTATTCTGGTCTTTAAAAACTTCAGAATAATTTTATCGATAAGATATCAAATTTTATTTTTATATCATTGACATCGATAATTTTATAAAAAATATTATCTTATTTACGAAACATGTATATGTGTCTTACGTGTATGTATGTCGACGCTGGCAACACAATTTTAGTATTTCTGACGATGGCGTCGACGATTTCAGCGGTACAGAAGCCGAGAGCCCAGCAACTTGGCCCTTTCTCGCCCTTCTTCCGATTAAGTTCGTCGTCGCTGTAAACACAGTCAGCGTTTTATTACTTCCCTAAATTCTCTCGGGAATGTCCCGTGATTTTAGCCACTGACATTTTATTTACAGCCACGGAGATGTCACGCCACTTCTCGGGATCATCCGCTTCGCCCATTCTTGGGTTTATGTCGCGTATCTTCGTACCCGCCACGTGAATGCTCGACCATATGGAAACTGTGTGAAACGGCAGATGTTGAAGACGAAGAATCGCCGTTACATAACTGTTAGGTTATTTATAACTAAACACTTTACACGAATTATATATTTGCGATGTGAAATAAAGCATCTGTGTTTACATCTTTTTGAGTAACATAATAATGAAAATAATAAAATCATATCAACCCTTGTCGATTAATTATAAATATCTTCTCAAAATTAATCGAAATGTCAAATACCAGAAGTATCACCCTGCGCGCCGATATTCATGCAACTAATCGACGTGCGCGCTAGTCCCAACTTCTGACTTAGTAAATCCTGAAACCTAGAGCTATCAAGCAGAGTTCCCGTGCCAAGCACTCTGTTTGACGGAAATTTGGATAGCTTCCAAGTGATGTACGACATCACGTCGATCGGTTGAGTTACGACGAGTAAGACAGCTTTACAAGCCAACTTGGCAATGGTAGGAACGATCTTCTTAAACACTTCAACGTTGTGCTTTACATTTAACTCCTCGCCAGGCTTTCTCTCACAAACGGCGATTATCACTACGGTTGAGTTCTTCACTTTGTAGACATCTAAAATATAATTGATTGTAAATCTTATCATGGAATGTAAATCTTATCAGATTATCGTGAAAGTTTTAAACGCGAGTATATTTTATCCTATTTTAGATATCTTTCTTTTCCTCAGAGAATTAAGGCATAAATCGCTCCGATCCCTTTGTGGAAGATACTTGGATTTTCATATGAAAGGAGTCGAAACGGGAAATAACTCTGTTCAGAATCAGATACACGTTTCCGAAGAACCTTTCTTCAGAACACTTCATTCAATCGCGCAATAATCAAGTCCTCGAAAACGCGTGGAATACAAAACGATCAGACAGAATAGGAAATTTTCTCTCCTTTCGAGAGAGATTTACCATCGAAAGAGATGCGCCGATAAAGATGGCGAAGAAGACAATCCGGTATGTGGTCGGAAAAATAAAGAGTCTTCGTGGCAACACCTTCACAAAGTGCTTGTAGTAACACGGAACAGTACCGCGACTACGGAAGATACGTTTACGACGGGGAAAGATGTTGTTACAGATAAACTTGGCAAGCCCGTAAAAAAGTCGTCCCACTTGTTCCAGTAATTGCTACCTCGCACGAGACAAGATCGAAAAGAGTCATTCCACTATCCGATAGGTATAAATACCGACAAAGTTGCATTGTACGCGACACTGAGAAAATTTGAACCGAAAACACATTTTTTTAGGTAAAACGAGCGACAATTTGATGAAACTATTCACCAGGTCAAACTTTATCATTCCAGTTACCGAGACTGTCCTTCTGAATTCCCACGAAAAATACTGCGTTTTTACAACTGGCTACTCGTCGGACGAGGTAACCGCGTGTTACATACATGTCGCAAGCAGAAACAAAATACCGCATCATGGAGTTTCTCGATCATAGCAGAGATAAATAAGAGTGGACGAAATTTACGATGGTGTCTGTGAAAAACTCGGGGGGAAACGCTCGTCCGGTTTGCGGCGACGTAGATGAGAATCAAGATTAAAGGACAGGTCCGAAAAGAATTCTGATCCCCGAAACTCTGCTGCTTAACCCGGAATCCATTCCCCGTCTGTACAGGAACATCGCTGACCCGATGTTTCTGACCCGCTGCACGTTGACAGGGGTCCGTTGACGAGCACAACCTGACAGGTCGTCGCTTAAAATGGGTGTCGATCGACGCAGGCGATGGCACACAGGTGATGCTCGGCAGACTCATCAGTCCGAACGTATCAATCTAAAATTCGTGCTGTCGTGAATGAGACTGCATTGCGTTTAATGCGCGGAAGGCCTACATCGTCCCACGGGCGCTTACGATTCCTTAATCCACGATTGTGAATAGAGCACGACGACGGGATCAGCCGGAGTGTGAATCATGACGATCTCTCTCTGGTTTTACTTTGACATTGATAATGCGACAGTCGAAACGTTTTTTTTGTAAGAATAATGTATGAAAAGATAACAAAAAAATACAATTGGATAGATTTTTTGTTCAATTATAATAGTTCTTGTTCAATTATTATAGTTTCTTTTTTTATCTAAATTTTCTAAATTTTCATCACAAAAGAAATACCTGATGTGCCACTGACTAACGGACATCCTAGAAAGACACCAGCGTGTTGAATGTCTTCGGCTTCGGCAGAAGCCTTGTCCTGATTTTGATCAATCAGACAAACTTCACTCGCTATTCGCTGGAAATCACGCGAAGTAAAATAATCAAATATTGCAAACTACACTATTTCGCAACTTACTCTCATCAAAATCGCGATGGCACAGGCCATTCCAACTTTTCTTGTACCTATAATCGAAACTTTAACGCGATGCGGATATTCATCGCATGATCCTAGGTATCTCGTTACTAGAGCGTTCTTCGTGGTTGTTACAGTCGGAATTTTGTCCTAATTAATTCAAGATAGATTATCTTAGAACGCAAGTATTTCTATTTCTTTAAATTTTCTATTCGTCAAGATATAAAAAAGCGTTACGTCGCATTCAGTTTCATCTTGCGTTTTGCTATCGATATTGCTCCCTTCAACAATGTCATCCCTTTTAGGAACGTCAGATGCTTCGTCGGCCATGCTCCAGTTGTTTCCGTTAGTTTCCCGAACAGCTGCGTGAACCATTACATATTTAATGAAAACATATGAACCTGCCCATCTGTGCGCTTAACTAACTGTGCATGTACCTGCGCACCTTTCTCATTCGGAGTATTTTATATTAACGCTTTAGATACATCAGTTACTTCACCACTCTCGTTACCTCAATCGCGTGATTCCCTTTTCTTACGTTATTAACTCCGCGGACGCTCGTCGAGGTGGTCGCTGCTTCTCAGGAAGGGGGCTTAAATGAGCGGCGCTGCGAGTCTTGCTGCTTATGCAGATCCGGATCGACCTACGCAGAAACGAGGCATTGGTTTTTAAGGTGAATCAGGTACCTCCGTTATGAGGAAGAAGTAACGTTCGCAGAGAGGAGATAACCCCCGCGAGAGAGAAACTCTAGCTGGAAGAATAACGGCGGAACTTATCCGCGCGCCTCGCTGTAAATTAGCCGCAGGTAGTCTCGTCGTAGAAGTGCAGGTACTCCCTCCGAACTCTCCCCTCTGTGTCCACTGTGTAGCTTCATGAGTCGCTCGTACACTCCTATACTCTTGCGAATACATCGACGCACGCGATTGTGCATGCGTAAAATACGCGCCGAGACTTATTAGATAATCACAGCGAGTGAATATGATTTTAACGACTGTTCCGAATGAAATAATTAACCTCGTGTCACATGCTAAATCATACGTGACTTTCTTAATCATGTTTCTGCAGACCAGGAATTTTTATTAAAGTTTTGAATACGTTTTTCTTTAAAGAGAAATAAATTATCATAGAAGGAAATATATATACATATCTATAATATTTAATAATGTTATAAAGATCATTAATAAAATGTATTTTTACTTTAGTAAATATTTTAACTAATTACTATTTTTTAATTGAAATATTTAAGTATTTAAGTTAAATAGATGTCGTGTTAGATTTAATTTGTCATTAAATATTAATAAATTATTAAATGTTAACCAATTAAATATATAATTATTTATTTGTTTTTATCATAAAGCTTCAAAGGCAAAATATATTACATAATACACTAAGAAAAAAATTGTAAACTTGATTAAATATTTTCAACTAATTATTATTTTTTTAATTGAAATATTCAAGTATTTAATTTAAATACTTAATATTTGATATTTAATAATTTATTAATATTTAATGACTTTGTAATCATGTTTCTTTTGAAAAAATGTTGAAGAAACAATCCTGGAATATCTCAAAAGAAAAAATCATCAAACGTATCATTTATTTTCTCATGTGAGTGGACGAGAAGATTATTAACATCAACTTGCTACATTACCTTCAGAGAGACAGGCCTAAAGACTCCAGGCAAGCCGTAGCGAAAAAAAAGGAAAATGAACACGCAACGTCATATATTCTTCGCTATGTACGCGTTGAAAGTAACTCTTTGCGCCCGCGATATAATGGTCGAGCGACAATCTTAATCATCTGTAAAGAGACCAGTTGAAAAAGTAAAACTTTTCCATTTACTTTCGGTGTTCGCCGATAAATCATGCCCGGCTGCATTTAGGAGTAGCAAACGAGGCGTTCCCGGTAGTCTGGGTATCGCGTGGTTTTAACACACATTCGAAGATGTATCTGCCTCCCAAGAGGTCTCGTTTTTCGCGCGTTGGTCCACGCGGTCCTGGCCCCGATCCGCGCACTCACGGACACATTCAATTTTAACGTTAATAATCGCCGGGAAAAATGACGACTTTAAACACGGCCATTCATCAGAGCCGATCGATATTGCGAATGCGCCTTAACGACGGAGAGATACCATCGACCGTCCCGCTGCAGAGTTATTGAATCGCGTCAAATAATATACGAGCCAATAATGTATGAATAGTCCTGCAATTATGGCCCGCCGATCGTATCTAAGGGCGCGTTGTAATTTAGTAATCGTTCATTCTCACCGTGTCGAACGCGGAATCGTCGAATATCGGTGGATATCGATCGGCCGTTGCATCTGCGCGATTTTTCACTTAATGTCCGAAGAGTTTTAGGGAATACAATTTGCACACGACCCCGAATCGATAAAGCAATCTCTGTGATCTCCGCGATTGATCTCGCTACCTCGTTCGATTTCCTCGGCAACGGTTACCTCTCTAGGTTGCCTCGTAGGATTGTAATAGGATAATACGTTTTATATCTTTTTAATGACCCCGTGACGCTCGTAGCCATTCATAATGCCAGTTAAAATCAGTATCTACCAATTAAACGATTTTCTAATAACATTCATGTCGGATGGAGAAGATGGTAGGATCGAAGGTGAGAAAGTAATTTCGAATCTGACACTTATAGTTGAGCGCCGTGGGTGAGAAGCGCACCCTGCTTCGAGATAATTAATTCTCCACCTTAATTAATCATACCAATTTTATCGAATGTCAAGATAGAGAAACGATACGGATTGATTCAGCGTCGTTTCAGGGATTTTCCGACTGTCGCGATCAATGTCAACATTCCTGCCGATTCTCACAATCCAGCTCATGCGTTTGAGACGCTATTGTAATTGCGATACTCAAACGTAAGCCTGCGAAAGAGGCCTATGCACGAGGACACGAATCAACCGCGATAAAAGCGTGATTCGACGATAACGATGTCTCGTGAGGCAAGATTTAGTCGAGTGGACGGTGCAAACGAGTCTCCTCTTACCGCGGAGATAGTCCTCGAAGGTTGGTCGTAAGCAACCGATCTTCTTTCTGGTACCCGGGCCGAGTCAACCGATCCAGACACTGGCTCGCGCATGCCTTTGGTGCACAATGGTTGGTACTGCAGCTGATACAAGTATGTTCGCCGTGCAACCGGAATTTTAATTGGCTATTTGTTTGTCCGCTACACTTCGTGGAGCTGCTATTGTCCGCCCTGCCGCAGGAGAACGACCGTCACCTCTCCTCTCTTCCTTCGCCTCTTGCCTCGCTCCTTCCCTTTGCTCGTGGTTGCTTTTCATCGGCGCGGTATTAATCTACTTTTAAGAAAGAAAGCGTTCCACGAAAGCACTTTTGAATTGAATTGTGTTATTTAATCCTTGAAATTGGGAATCTTTTTTCAGAACAGCATGGTTGTTGCGAAGATGAAAAAAGTTTTCGAGCTTAATTGAATTTTGAAAATCAGCACATAACTATATATTATGTATGTTTGTGAAACAATATAACAATCACTTTGTAATATTTATGTATTAAATTTTCATATATCTTAATTAATTCAATCAATATTATGTTGATACGTATATGATATAAATTACATTATTTTTTTGTTCAATACTTGCTTGTAAATTAATTGACACAGCCAAGTAATTTTTTATAAATCTTTGCTTTTATTTTTTTTAAGATTTCTAGCTTCTACTGATTATCTTTTAATTTATTTTATAATTTTATTTGAATTGTTGCATTGGTATACACATTTAAATTCTCTGATTTTATATTTATACACTATAATATTAATTATCTCTGATGTTACTTTCATTTCTAAAGGATGTCGAGCGTATAAGATTAATTTAGCATGCAAGTCTTTATATTCTTCTCGACAATGCGTTCTAATAAATTAGGAAGCTATGGGCCATTCAGTTTAATCAACAGAACAAGAACCGACACGGTTCAGTTGTTTAAAATCATATGGATTGCCTTGAAGCGAAACAAGAAACGTCGTTCATCGGGATTGAGATCATCTCGAATCACGCTACTTTTTATACTCTTCGTGATACTTAATAAATTGTTATCAAATTATTATATAATTTATTATCTAATTTAAACAAAATCTCGAACATTTCAAAAAAACGCATCTCGCGTAGGAAGCAACGTACCATTGGTACCTGTAGAAACAAAGGTCACAAACGCAAAATCGGTAGTCGAAGAAACATATTGGTTTCCGTACATCTGCATTGATTAATCGCTCGTTATTTACAGGGACTCCAAGATTCATTTTCGCCGCAGTAATTACGGACTATTCGAATTGACCGCGCGAGGAGTTTTTCTTTTTGTAGGTGTGCATATGTGCCCCGACGTAATCTTGCCAATGATCACGTACGATATTAAAAAAAATTTGCCAGCGCTTTCAATCGAACGCCGGAGATCTCGGAACGCGGTCGTAGGAGGTCGGGACTTACGGTATACGCAAGTTCCACAGCCACGCATACGACCCCCGTGGCTCGCTGAAATATCGCGCGGACGTCGCTTCATTTCGATATTCCTGGCCCTGAGGCCCCGACGAGGCGAACCTCTCTTTCTCTCTCTCTCTCTCTCTCTCTCAGGATCTGGACGGCAGAGGAGGTCCAGCGAGAGTCCTCTCGTTTTATTACATCGCATCGGGAAGGGGCGAGGCCGATGCACAATTGTTTATGCCCGTGTCCCGCCCTATCGAACGCATCGGACACATTCGTATACATACCTACCACGTATACGTACACGTGGTAAAATACGTATACGCCGTACGTGTTACGTGGTGATGGTGGTGATGTTGGTGAACGGACGTCGCGCGCGTTCGCGTTGCGTACCGTATCCTCTTCCCCCGCAACCACATGCCGCACTCCTCTCTCCGTGCTCCTCCTCTTTGTTTCTTCGTTCGGGCTAAGATTATTAATGGCCAGACCGAGGCCCGATACCCCGAAGTGTCAGCCTCGTGACAATGACGAAGCTCGCACTTCGAGAGTCCACCCTTCCTCCTTCTCTCATCATCCGAGGACGAGTACCGTGCGTCATCGCGTGCGACTTCGATTGACGCCGTAGGTTATTACAATGGAAGCAACATAACGCGATGCGATTTGCAACACGAGATCGCATAATCGACTCGCCACGCGTTATTCTTACTGATAATTTTTGAGATTAATCGTGCGATCAACGATAATTATTTTAGGTGACAAGGGAGGATTTTCGAATATTTTATATAATTTATATGTTACTTCTATTAAATATAGATATCTAAATTTGTAAAAATAAGCTTGGAAATATTTGAATTAAAGTATTTCATTTCATTCAGGTACAACAAGTGAAAAGAGGAAATAAAATATTTTGTTTCTTTCTCTTAAAATTATAATTTGATTCGAAAGAGAATGCTTAAGAGAAATTTGCGCAAGACTCAGCTGGCAGATATTTCTAAATGATATCTATATGATATGTATCAGCAATATAAGATACTTGGAACAACATCAATGGTAGCAGGTGTTCTGTATCAGATTGTCAGATGAACTGGATTTAAAAGCGATATGTAAATCATGAGACTATAACACTGTTCTATTTTCCCTTCGGATAGGATTTAATCCCGCATCGAGAGCCACATTCTCAAGATCTCTCAGGATACATGTGAAAATAAACATTGTCAAAATGACAAAATTATTAATAATCTCGCTTACAAAGTGATGTCAGATGTGCCGCAAAACCGTTCAGAAACATGAGGAATTAACTCGTGCAAGAATTAATTCAAAAATATGTAAATGTTAAATTTGCGATCAATAATAATTAATATTGAGGGTATATTGTACATGGAAGGAAGCGCGAAAGAGAAAAGATGTGAGGAGAGAAGATAAAAAGATAATTTGGAAGTGAAACGAACGAGTAGCAAGCGACAGATGGGCGCGGATCACAATCTATCTCTTCCCCCCCAAATTTGATGCCTCTCCCTCTCTCTCTCTCTCTCTCTCTCTCTCTCTCTCTCTCTTCTCTCTCATTTCTGCGGATTGTATTCTGTCTCTTTCCCAGTTACAAAATTAGCATATTCTAGAGAGAGAGAGAGAGAGAGAGAAAATTAATGCTCGCCAAGTGCGCGTCGTAAAGCTTCCCCGCGACGCGGTAATTATGTAGGACCGCGCGCATTATACACCCTCGTCGTGCCACGTTTCGTTGTGGTAAAGCCGCCGTCGTTGTTTTACGAGCTCCTGCTTGTAATAACAAAGCACCGCTGTACGATGACACGTTAAAAACCACGTTTGCACTATCGTAAGTCAAGGGCATCGTCTTGAAACGAACACGTCGCTCTTCCCTTTCCGCGCGCGGTAGCAAATGGGTTTAGTCCATTACGATCTCGTATTGTGTCTTTCGGATCATCTTTAAGATACTTTTTGAACCTTTCGAATTGATGCAAAAAAAAGATATCTCAGACATCAACACTTTAAAATATTTGATTAAATTACTGACGTTTGAATATAATAATAATTACAAAAAATTGATTATAGTTTAACGCTTGACGTTAATTATTCATTTTCATACAATCATTAATTTATAAGGTAAATAATTTCAATATTTTATGTAAAATAATTGGAATATTTTTTCGCGTATTTCTTATAATTTTTCTTAAGTACTAATCAAGCATATTCTCGAATCTCTATCAATATATGTGATTCTAAAATACATAAAGAATTGAGCATTATGTATTTAATAGTGCAGATAATAATTTTATTATCTACGTGACTTACAAAAAAATTTTTAGTATGAATATAAATATTATATCATATTTTATTCAATGCCATTGTTTGATATTACTAAAATAACACTAAAAGTCTGTTTTATGTAAAATCTTTAGATAATAAAGTTATATAAGACCGTAATAAATTTCAGAATTTTTTTGATTGTGTTTATGATATTTTGACCATAATTTTTATAAATTGAATATCTCACATGGAAAAAAGACATGATACGTAAAATTTAAATTTTAAATACTTTATAGTAATATCAAGTATATCAATCATAGGAACTGTTATTTATTGCACTATATACTATTATTTTTCAATAAAAATTATAATAATTATGTACAACAAAAATCTCTTCATTATAGGTATAATAATATAATTACTAGTTTGTATAAAATGCTCTATTGTGATTTAAAACATATATATATATATATATATATATATATATATATATGTATATAATATGTAAATAATGATTTACATTATAATAAAATATAAGTAAATTATAAAATAATAATCAAAATTTGCAATTTAGGGGTTAATAAAATATTAATATATATTACATATTTAAGTAACATTAAGATTTATTAGTATAAGAGATATTTTGTTTTACGATAGAATGATAATTATTAATTTATTATAGTTTATTAATTATACAAATTATTTTATAAATATCCGATGGAGGAAATATTATTTCGTAATTCTTCATGATTACGCACACAATGATTTGTCAAATTATACTAGAATATTTGCATTAGTTGAAGAATCTGCTGATTATCTTGCATCATAATATGAAATATTATACAATTATTTTGTATTATATTGCATTAATTCTATGGAAGTATGGGATTTGGAAAATATGGGATTGGCGTCATTCCATAAACTCCAAATAGAAAATCATATGTCCATCCCCAAGCAAGATTAAAGCCTGCATTTAACGCCATTATGAGCAGCTGAAATGGAACAAAGTAATTAACGTCTAATTTCCAGCTTTGTGTGTGTATAATTTTATATTTTGCGAGATAAAAAAGATATTATGTTACATTCACGAAATATTTTTTCACTCTTCCACAAAATTATTCTCTCATCAAATATAAATAAATAATTTTCTTTTAATTTCACTTCACATACTTATTATGAATTACTATTTGAAGAGATGCATATACATTGTATGTGTAAATTTCATAAATGCATTACAAATTATATAATTATTTGCTTTTAAATAATTATTTTAATGCGCAGTTTATATTAAAAAATTATAACAAACACCGATATATTAAAAAACTATAACAAACACCGATAACTGATACAATCTTTCAAATGAAAGAATATAAATATTAATGATACAAGTTTTATATGTATACATATATAAAAAGCTTTCATACCCATTGTTGCAAGTGGATTATCCAATTCTTTATTAAGCGTATAAATGCCTTTTTTTCCTTTAGTTTGCTAAATGCCTCTTTTTCCTTTAGTTTGCTCAAAATATCTAGGAGAGGATTTTTTTTAATAGTAACCACTTTACTAGTAGAAACCACTTCTTTACTAGAAGGCGTTTCTTCAGCCATGATACCAGAAATCATAATAATTGCAATAGCAATTAACAATATAACATATATCTTCATTGTTGCAAACTTGTAAGTGTTCAAAGGAGCGAAAAATCCGAAACTTAAATTTTACGTATCATGTCTTCATGATGCCTCAACTTATACTACAAAAGTCGTGATCAAAATGCGATAAACTTTATCTAATCCGGAAAATATTTCCATATTTATTAACGTTTTAAATAATGTTTTAGTATTATTTTAGAAATAGCAAGCAATTCGTTGAATATAAAGTTGCTTAAAGGTAATAAATATAACATTTTATGTGTTAAGATATTCACATATATCTACAATATAAAACACGTCCTACACTTATTGCATTAGTTAAATAACGTATCAAATGTATCAAGAGAATTATTCTATTTAATTTAGGAAGTGAAATGTGGATAAACATTGTATATATTATTTCTTAGAATTGTATTAAATTAATATTGTGTATATTATTTCTTAAAATCTCATAACAAATGAATCTTTCTCTTTCTTTCTCTCTTTCACTAGACACTTAAAAAAACCTTTCTCTATTTATATGACATTTGCCGCATGTAATATTATTGGTAAATTATCAATTGTTACATAATAATTAAAAATGTTATTACTTAAATATTTGTGAGACTCCTCTCTCTCTCTCATACAGTGAATAAAATTCTGCAACATAAGAGAATTTTGTTGAAACATAAGAGATGATCAACATTAAAGTGTATTTTAACATAGTGTATTTACGACGTAAAATTTTCATTAATTTAATTATTTATTTTCACATAATCATAATATTAGTTTACAAATATTATGTAATTTGACGTAAAAGAATTAAAGATATTTTAATATTTTTTTAAATATTTCCTATACATTATTAAAATATTTTTTAAACATCCGACACATATTTGTGAATTTTTTTAATAGAAAATGTAATGTGAAATGTGTGTGTGTGTTTGTGTGTCCAATTTGAAACACATACACAAATACAACTCCAATATCTCTTATCGAAAGATATTTAATAGATACAATTGTCTGTAACAATGATATATTAGAAATCCAAAATTAGGCGATCTCTTTCTTTTTCTCTATCTATCTATCTATTCGTGTATCTATCTCTCTTGGCCATCAAAGCATTGAGTGTTAATATATTCTACGGTGATCTATCGCTTCGTGTTGGCGTGTCCGAAGAGTTTAAATCGTGATTAGGATATGGATGTGGTGAGAGTTGTAACGGTGTGTGACTTCCTGGCCACTGTTAGCAGTCACGTTGAATCACTGTGGAAATGTTTCTTTGTAGACATAGACGAATCGCTTTGGCTCTCCGATAACGAGGCAACGGCACGCCAACCGTTTTGTAATGTTCGTATGTTAATGACTAAGTATGAATCTCGTTATCGAGTATGCTTGTGCTGATATAAACCATAATGTATCAGAAAACCAATACTTCAGACAGTTCGCCTAAGGATACCTCATAAAGACGTTAACGTAGCTGAAATTTGACATGTCCTTGCATATCTGAACAGTTTCAACTTACTTTTATGTAAAGCTTTTATCGTTTTACTAACTAAATATTTTCACAGGTAGGGAAAAAGATAATAAATAAAAAGATATATTTAATTTTAATATATTTTTAATATATTTAATTTAAGATAATTTTTTACTATATAACTACTATAATTTTATAAATATTTTTATAAATATTTTTGACATCCCTTGGATGAAAGATATTAAAATTAGACACAAAGTGTCTAGCAATTATTAATAGCACATTTTATAATCTATAAAAGCTGAAAAGCCGTTGTATACTCGTTTTAATATTTTATTAGGATTGTTTTACATAACAGAATAAAAAATATTTCGTTAATCGTCGCTTCGTCTGCTCTCGTAGACAATTTGCTCATGCCATATGAATGAGCCCGCGGACACTTTTATTCCCCCTCATAAGAAACACAACATTTCGTTCTGCAATTTACTCGCATCGTGCTCAACTATTCCTTAAGCCACTTTGCATTTATATGAGCGCATCTCGTCCTCTCTCAGCGCAGGAGAGATACACAGGGAGGATTGCACGCACATTTATCTGGTCACAAGAGAAAAGACAAGGAGAAAGAGAAAGGATGAAGATAGAAGAGAAGACATGGCAGAAAGAAAGGAGAAAGCGTCAGGTATATCCGTCGAGGATGCGAGCAATCATAGAAAGTTCTAAGTCTCTACGCAAAAGAAGGAAGGAACGGAAAGATGAAAGAATCGAGAGAGAGAAAGAAAGAGAGAGAGAGAGAATCGAGAAGAAAGGGATGGCGGCGCCGACAGGAAAGCGCGACCGCGAGAAAAAGAGAGAGAGGACTTGGAGAGTAGATGAATTATGTTAAACGCCTGTTTAAGTACATGTTCGCCTAGGGATACACACACCGACGCGTCCATTCGTCTTTTCGATTTATATTAAATCGCCTCTCGAATGACCCGACAACGGCTCTGGCCGAACCGCGTCAGTTCGGTGCTCATTCCTTGCTTTTCGGGATTCAACGAGTACTATAATATACCTAAATTTTGACAAATATTTCGATTTTATTTTAGATAAAGCACCCACTTATACTGCACATCCCTTAAATTCCTTATATTTATAATTCGCAAATATTATATAAAACGTATATTTAATTATTATATTATATTATATTAAAGCTTGTGTGTAATATAAATATGATTTTAATTATATACTTGCATTTATATTTTTATATTAATTTTCCAATATGCACATGTTAAAAAAAATATTTTATATTCATTTATCATTTGATGTATAATCCCTCAAAATACACTCTGTTCAATGTTTCCTGCATGAATGTCCATGAGCGTTTAAAGGTTGCATTCCTGGTAAGTAATTTATCCTTGAAAATAATCGTAGAATGGTTAAACACGTAGCCTTGGATTCTCATCGCAAACTCTATGAACTATTCTTGGCAACTTTGATAAACTAGTATGGTTTTCATTTCGTAGTATAAGGTCATGAAGACGAGATGCACATAAGAGGTATATTCGAATGCGCGAATAATACATGATCAAGTATATAGGGTTTAAAGAGCGATAGATAAGTACCATTATCATTGCATGACTCAGAAATCTTGATAAAGTAAAGATAACTATTGATCCGCATCAAAGCACATTTCTATTTACTCTCCGCTCATGAACGGTTGTCTATCATCCATCGATAGATCGTTACTCTCAGCTGATGCAGTATTCTCCGAGCACATTCCAGTGTATTGAAAGCCGTGTACTTCTCGATGCAACTCTTCAAATATGCCTCATATCGAATTATTCACTCAGAACTAGCTCGCTCAAGCAGCGACTATGACTGTATCATGCCTGTCCGATCATAGCTGATTTATTTTATGCGCTGAATAGCAACGGCATAAGCTTCTTTCTCATAAGCGATCATCGTTGCACGACGATATTTAGGACGTAGTCAGGTGTAAACGCGCTTTCGCACTCTCTCCAGGCAATTGCGGAAGAGGAAATCTGAAATGTGATCCCTGCGAACGGCTCGTATCCGTTGTTGCGTTTGGTGCGCAAGTGCATCGGCGTGATAATACATATTAAAACGATGCTTCCGCGTGCAAACTGTTGCTTCGCACGGAAATCCTTAATCTAGTTTCATTATAGACACTACGCTCGAACCGCCAGCGAATTTACGCTAAGCCAGAGCGCGGCCATACATTGCGTACACGCACGAAATGCGAGAAGGTTACACCGAATCGACTTCGCTTCCTGAAGCAGGCGCGATAAATCAAGATTAAAATCGTGGGTTTGTTTTCTACTTTTTTCGTCGAACCTAGAACGATACGTTGAGCGTGATATCGCGCTGCCATTACCAGTTCTATTAAACAGTACCTCTCTCCGGTTTTATCTAGATGTATGTACAGACGCGTAGCTTCTAGAAGATACCAATCAGCAGCATTCAGCAATGTCGATTCACGCAATCCGTCTCCGACAAATCAAACGCAGATACCGATGAGAAGAGCCAGCCGCACCGGACCGAAACATAGGAAGATAATGAATAGGCCTTGGTGCTAAGGTTTGCCAGAGCACGTTTATAAAGGGGTGGCCCATTATCTTCCCGATATCGTCGGTCAGGCAAATAGACGATAAATATTAATTGGAATCGGCGAGATAAAACAAATGAATCCCCTTGCCACCGGTGCAAGTGCCGGTCACGCGCCTCTCGAAGGAGCAACGAAGAGTAGGGAACGAGAAGGGAGCGCGCCGAGAATCGTGGGTCGATTCGCAAAGATGAGAAGACGAAGAAGGAAGAAGACGACGCGAGGAGAGATACACGCGCGGATTCGATGAAGGGAAAGGGAGGAAAGGGAGAGAAAGAGAGCAAGGGGAGACAGAAAGGTGGTCAGGCAGAACGGCCGTGATTTATACAGAATCATATCTCCATCTGAATGTCTTCATTTTTAACGCACGGCCGCGCAATGGTCTCTCTCTCTCTCTCTCTTTCTCTCTCAGCGGCTTCGTTTCGGCTCCTCATCTTTGCTCTCCCTCTCACATGCTCCCGTCTCACTCCGTATCTTTCTCCTCCTCTGAAAATCATTTCACTCACTCGCTGTTAAAGACGATGGAAGAACGAAAGCTCGCGAATCTACCTGGGAGTAAATCGCACAACTTCCCCGATGGCTTCCCTGGTGGTCTCCATACGATTTAATGTCTTCATGTATACGATTTAATGTCTTCATGTATACCGCCCCCTTCTATCCGTTCTCTGACCCAAAAGATGTGCGTTGAATTCCCAGGTCACGTCATATTTAGATGCGACGAGCATGGATGAGGAAACGCCTGCGAGAATCGAACGCAGCCACGCAAATGATCTGGTAATTTTGTACGGAACGCATGTCGATCGATACGCTTGCACCGATCGATTTCGTTCCGTTCGCGCGTGCATAATCGGAGAAGCCCGGTTTTCGGCGAGCTCGGTCTGTTGCAGAAGGAAATCGAGTATTTCCTGATTATCGCGGTTGGGCGAATTTAAAAATAAAAAAAGATATTAGAGAAATTAACATAAGTGTTGTGAACGGCACTTTAATAATTTTGAATATTATTTC